TGTTACTTACTTCTGTTATTATATAGTTAGGCATTTTGGGGTCTTGCAGAGGATTCTTGTAGAGGTAGTGGTCCAAAATGTGATACTACTTTCATTTCTGTACCTACTTGGTGTATATATTCATTCAAAATGGATGACTTTCATGTTACTTACTTCTGTTATTATATAGTTGGGCATTTTGGGGTCTTGCGGAGGGTTCTTGTAGAGATAGTGGTCCAAAATGTGATACTACTTTCATTTCGGTACCTACTTGGTGTATACATTCATTCAAAATGGATGACTTTCATGTTACTTACTTCTGGAAACCATCCTGAAGGTGGTTCGCGGCTTCAAAACGTTAATAGCCAGTTGTAGTTTTCGAATATGGTTCAAAACAAATGTGAAAATGATTGGTTTCAAAGGGGTGGTCCAAAATGTGCTACTTATTACATCTACTTATTGCATCTTCATCTATTTACTCCATAAAATAGAGATGATCGGTTATTTGTTTCTTTTTAAATATATGTAATTACGTGTAATGAATAGCGAACAGTGATTAGAGATGGTATAGGAGGAGTCGGGCCAGTGTAAAATGCTAACACTTATAATTATTGATGCGAATTGTATCTACAGACGTTTAATTATCGATTGAACATTCACCAGGAGCCAGAGGATGCCAAGAAGACGCGAAGATTCGTGACAGACGACAGCGAACCACCTCATTTATGCTTCAAAGAAGGCGACAACGTGGTGTGCCACGTTTACACCGAGTACACAGGCACTTTACCTGTGAATGCCACTCTGGGGCAGGCCTCCAGCAACAGCAGCGATCGAGATTGGTGCGCGTATCCCCTAGCTGAGTACTTTACCTGTCGAATACCCCCTGAACTGAGAGCTAGAATGGCGGAGGTCTATCAGAGCTGTTCCATCGAATGCGACTTGGTCGATCCATACACTCTACCAGGTAGTCCTCTCCTCTAATTACCCTTGCTCTTAACGCATTCGCATGTACACCTAACATTATTAGTAAATATTAGCAGTAATTAATGTAGTAGATTGAGATTAGGAATGAATAAATCCTAATCCATATAATATATATCATTTATTGCACGAGATAACTTTGGCTAAGTAAAAGCGCGTAAGTCTAAGCGGAAGCGTGTTAGAACTAACGAGTAAACTAATTTTAACATTTATTTCCAGACAGCGTCCTGGTGGAGAGCCAGTGCCAGCAGACAGAGGACTGGTCGCACCTGGTGTTTTGGACGTACTTGGCCATCCGGTCAGCCGCTGACATTTTCCCGACGACAGCTGTGGCCCTGATCGATGCTGCCGTAGTGATAGCCACGAGGGAGACGTCTTGTGGACGCGGCGACGTCGGTCGCCAATTGGCCTTTGGCTCCCTCGGCTTCGCAATCTTTGGCCCTCTAACTGGCTATCTTTCCACTCTGATAGACAACTTGAACTCCTTCTACTACCTACCCATCGGCCTGCACGCCGCGCTGATGCTTCTAGCGGCTCTCGTTGCCCTCTGCGCCGATGGGATGCCTCTCAGTCCCCCGGAGTGGTGGTGGCACACTAGGAGTGGCATGCTAGCGCTTCCTATGAGTGCCATCAAGAGATACGGCAGCGAAACTGCCGCCCTGGTCATCGTCCTCATCGTCATGGGAACCTTCTGGAGCGCTATGGACAGCTATCTTCCTTTGTAAGATTTCTTGTTGGTACAGGAGTAGCATCGCGACTTTCAACCAAAGACTAAGGAGTCAAATCAGTCTCGAATGTTCGCGTTTGATATATTAGGTTGTCCCAAAAGTTTCTTTCGCTTTATTAATAAGTAATACATGCACAATAGTTTATGTTTTATGTTACATTACTGAATTGTCCACGATTCATTTTGCTCCATTACTGTTACAACATGAATATTTATGAAATTAGATTGTCTATTTATATTAACACGACCACATCAAATAATTGAGTGGAACTCGCGAAAGAAACTTTCTGGACAACCTAATAGTTATACTAATTTCATTGAACGCATTAAATACATACATCAAAATAGTACATTACAATCAATCGGTGCCCTACTTGTAGCAATTGTTCTCATTGGTCTCAATTCGTATTATTTTAGACACTTGCAGAAACTGGGGGGCAACGAGCTTCCCATCGGCGTGGCTATGACCGTGGGAGCGGTGCCATCGTTCTTATTCCTCTGGAAGTCCGAGCACCTAGTCGATTATTGCGGTCACAGCAATCTCCTGATCACTGCCTTCACCGTGTATATCATTAGGTAGGTAAGTTACGCGATCGTGCACAGTAAAGGCTAGACGACTTGTATAAAATAACTGCGAGTGAAATTTTTAGGTTTACTGGACTGAGTCTCGTCGCGGGACCTTGGTGGTCCTTGATTTCCGAGGCGCTCGAGGTCTTCACATTGGGAATTATGTGGGTCACTGCCATCCTCTATCTGAGACACTTGGTCCCGCGTCATTTGACTGTCACTGCTCAAGCGCTGCCTGTGATTGCACACTTTTGCGTTGGTACGAATTCCAAATACGTTTGTGTATATAAATATGTATACATATGATGTTTTAAGTCTCGCGCAGGACACGAATGCATTCACCACCGGCCCAAATGTGTTTGATCTGACGCAGGTCGATGCATCGGAGCCGTGATTGGTGCTTACATCAACGTCGACGACTCTGACATCGTCGATTCGTTGAGATTCGTTTATCGTTGCATGGCCGTCGCGGCAGCAGGCGTTGCCGCCTTGTATTTCATCTTGTATCACGGCTTATTGAAGCCACGGTGCCATGCACACAATATACAGGGTCCACGGCAACCGCCTACCGTTGTACAGGGTGAGCAAATTTGTCGATATCTACAGCGTAGCAAGTTTCAATTCCATCATTTACGATGTTCGTTATTCCATAACGATCGATAAATTTATTAATATGTTCATACAAACGTGACTAACGTAAATTTCTCACGCTAGCTGCCATTAAGGAGTACGAATTAAGTGAGTATCCTGGAAGCATTCAAGTGGTTTGAGTCGGCATTATCCTTATTTTTGCTAATTTAAGAAGCAGAATCTTTAGCAAGCGTTAAAGCAATTGCTCCGACATGCTGTTTAGCGATAGATTCAGTGCAAACTGATGCTTGATGTCGAAAAGTCGCTGAACTCTAGAAAAAGTGACGGACCAACCTAAGAATTTTGTAATCGCCATCTACCTTAAAGTATGGTTACTTAAAAATTGACACGAACTTTCTGGAGAACCAATAGTTCCCTTGGGAGTCGATACGATGCTCCCAGCGATTCTACTTCAAGGAAGACGACCATCTAGACCTCCTAGGTCACCTAGATCTCAGGTTGGGACGTTACTTTTTACAGAGTCGGTTAAACTTTTCTGATAACCCAACGTACGCATTTCAGTTGTTATATCCATGTAAATATCACCTTCTGATTTCCTTCAAAGTCCTAAAGGTTCCCTCCAAAGGCACTTGGACGATTCTTTTTGCATGCTACAAAAGGTCCAAATGATTCAAAAGGTTAATGGAATATTAAATGTTAGATATGGCTGGTGGAAATATCAGCATACATAGCATACATACTGAAAGCTCTTTAACAGATACTTTTAACCTTCAGGAGTTTCTTCACTTTGAAATTTCTGTTAGAAGATTTAAATTGATTCCGTTTGTTTTCAAACTAGACAGACTCCTCGAGATAACTTGTTATGGCAAACGTTGTACAGACTTGCAGGAATATTCTTTCAGTTCAAAGGACTCGTAGGAAGCATTCTTCAGTTTAGCAACGTTTCCTTGATAGAAACTAAGTTTCTTTTCCCCTCCCATCGTTTATTCGTTCTCCACTATCCTCGCATTATATTACATTTCGTGTCGACCTGTGTTTCTCTTCATTTAATCCAATTTAATCGTCCAGTTAATCAGAACTTCAGTTACCTTTTTGTGTCGATTGTTTTATCATCCCCTTCCCCTGTTTTCTTCTGTGTACAGCGATGAACGGAAACGGGAATTACACGCCGCTCAGGGTCTACCACAACGGTATGGGCAGAAAAGGTCAATTCCGTTATTGAAGAATAGGAAAGGTCGATTCTCCTATCGAAGATTAGGAGAAAAATATAAAGAGACTGGGCGTTAACGACACGTTAAATGTCACGTTACGGTGCTAGCGATTAGACTGTCGCTCCTATTGCGATTAAAAAACGAAATTGATTGTTACACGACACTATAGCGTTCATCTGCAACTTAACTTTCCGTCGAAATTTGTCACCGTTTGGTATTGTCGTTTATTTACAAGCAGTTGTTAAGGATTTATTTGCTCAGGTGTACTTCAAGGCGTCGAGACGAGCTTCTACGTTTACCGATACCGAAATGAGATTACGAATCGAGAAGGTAGAAGTAGGTAGAAGTACTTTCGAAAGTTAGAAATTCCAAACAGATCTCGTACATGTTATTTTTTATTTTTATTTCGCGTTGTGATCGTAGAAACCAACCTGTTGAATTTACGTTGCCAATAATTTATGTATTTCCTTTTTTTATGTTAAGTGATTCGAGTATTCAAACATTTGCGTTCCTGGTTATGCCGCAATGTCTTAATTTGAAAATACGAATAGATGGAATTAGTAGCAGTGAGCCTTCGCTTGGTTTATAATTCCTGAGTACTTGTACCTACGTCTCCACCAGTAGTAACAATTTACTACGCACTCTAACTGTAACATATTTGTAATGCTTTTCCATTCTCATAGTTTTTTGTATTTTTTGTAAGTGTACAAGTATATATTTCCCCTCGAGCTCGTTGCGTTCGATTTCTTTTTGTATATTAGACTGCGTGTTCGCGCGAGAGGTCGCGTATTCGTACTGTTTTTAAGAAAAATTTCTACGAACCTGTTGTATCGTATCTATACACTGAGAAATAATTCGTCTCTCTACGTAGGATAAGAGTTTACCTGATAAAGAGAAAGTAATATATTGAACTGTGCGATCGATGTGTACACACCGAAAGAAAAAGAAAAAGAGAAATAAATAAAAATGAACAAACGAAAAGGTTTGAATACAACGTTACAATTTATATTATAAGTAATAAACACTTGTAACGCTAACGAAAGAAGAACACTCGGATGTCTGAAACGTTCCAACAAATTTCTGATCCCTGGAGACTCCAAAAGTACCTTTCCTTTCGTGACACTCTATTCAACAATTTTGAAAATAAATAATTCACTGCACAATCGCTACAAAACAGACGGTAACACCTCTCAGTGAAGTGCACGCAAAAAGAGATAACCGAGTTTCGACAGTTTGTAATAAATTTATTAGGGAGCAGATTTCAATTCACTTTACGACGATCAACAGGCGAACCCGCGACTATCGTGGAAACGTTCGCTCGCTACAGTTCGAAATACAATATTAGGCTAAAAGTATATTCACCCATGGACCATAGAAAACAGCGACCATCGACGTACTTCAGAGCCATCTTATCGTTTCGTGGACATGTTCGTTCGTTCACCTATTATACATATGTTACCTATACAATTGTAGTTATAATATTTTTATTCAACATATTTATATAAATTTCAGAAGTGTATTCGTTTCATCATCCGGCGAGAGATGGATTCTTCTAACTAACCGCGAGAGACTCGTTTCAGGAAATACTTTTTTTTTTCCGGCTCTCCAAAGTGCGCAGTCTTACAGAGTAACACTAAATGACGGATGAGTTGTGAAAGAAAAGAAGAAAACCGGTGGCAATGATAAATCCAACAGGAAACGTCGTCCCTCCTGCTAATAAATGTCAAATGCATTCTTATAATTATCCAAAGAACTTACTAAAGCTTCAACTTTTTACAATAATTATACATTATACGCGCTGTACATACAAGGAGGTCGGGTGGAGGAAATATACAGGGTGTCCCAAAAATGTTGTAACACCTTGAAATGGGTGGTTCAGGGGGTGATTTGAAACAACTTTTTCCTTAGCGAAAATGTTGTCCGAGGCTTCGTTGAGGAGATATTAACGGAAAACACTGACCAATCAGAGCGCGAGTATGCCGGTGGAGCGCTAGCGCTAACGTATGAACGCGGTCGCCTAGTGCTTAGCCACGCCTACTACGGCCGGTCCAACGGTATCCGCACGCTCTGATTGGTCAATGTTTTCCGTTAATATTTCCTCAACGAAGCCTCGGATAACATTTTCGCTAAGGAAAAAGTTGTTTCAAATCACCCCCCGAAGGGGAAAAAAGGGGATGGATGAATGAATGAATGAATGGACGGGAGAAAGATGGAAAAAAAAAGATATGGGGGGGAATTCCCCGGAAGCGGAGGCAAGCTCTCTCGCTCTCTCGCTCTCTCAATCTGGTGTGCGCAGGCGTTAGGATAGAATAAGATAGGTCAAGGTTAGTTGTAACTTACAAACCTTACAACTTGTAAGGTAGAGTTAAGAAAGATAAGACGACATCTATAAGGACTAGGAATTAAGATTAGGTCAAGTACAGTGGGTGTAGAATGTATTCGTACACCGATGAATTCTCTCAAAAAACTTTTGTGTGAAATTGTAGTTTCTTAACTTCTTTTTTTATAATCAATGATATTTTACATATTCTCGGAAGTCTCTAAGATAGATATAGTCCAAACATTTACTAGTTAATATAATTTGTGAAATGAACATAAAAAAAAAGAAAAATGCGAAAAGTGGATAAAAATATAAAAGCAATAAGTATTTGTACGATTCTTATGGCGAACCATTTACAGTAGATTTTATAACATAAACACATTAGTCTATTGCTTCGTACGAATTAGAAAACATCAAATTTCCAGTAAAGCAGTTTTAAAAAAGGCTCTAATAGAGGAATGAAAGGAGATCCCACTTCGAATAACTAATAATTTAGATAATTTAATCCTTAGAAAAGTTACAATAATTATAAAATCAACAAGAAATCCCACGAAGGAAGTATTATATACTTATATATAAATGTAAGTTTCTCTTTCTTTTTGATCAAGCTTTAAAAATTAAACAGTTGTGCGAATACTCATTGCTTCAATATTTCTATCGATTAATTGTCTTTTTCGTTAATTTCGCAACTTACATAAATAGCTATATCTTTTGTAATCTATCTATTCTATCTATTCTACATATTTCCGAGAATATATAGAATGTCATTGTTTATAAAAAATAAGTTAATAAGTTACAATTTTACACAGTTTTTTTGGAAATTGATCGGTGTACAAATATATTCCACACCTACTGTACATACATACAAAGAGGTCGCAACTTCACAGTTTCTTCGTAGAAAAAAAAAACCTCGTTAACGTTCTTACGCTATCAATATATGAATACGTTTATATCTGTAAAGAAAGTACGGGGTACTTCTTTCAAAGTAACCTCGCGCACTTACGCCGCAACAATTTCGGAATTAGGACACCAGAGTGAGAAAAGAACGTAGAAGAAATAAAAAGAGAATAGCGAAAGCGAAAGAGTGAATAATTGACATTCAATGTCGTTTCTCTCTCCACAGGTAAAAACCCATTGTAAATAATAACGTAACACAGTAACGTAAGTAATAAAATAAAATTAAAAAAAAAAAGACTCTTTCCACAGAGAAACTCATTTCGCAGATATTCAACCAAGCCTAACCAAACTGAGAGTCGTATATCATTATATATTTATTTCCGATAAGTATTACTTAGGTAATTAACAAATACGTTTCAATATTTGCGAAACGTGCGGTGTCCGGTGGTCGATTGTAAACGTTTCGTCGTACGACCAGTTATTTTGCTAGATCCGAGTAGTATACCCGTGGTTCTTTTCAGAAAGTACACAGATAAAGCCACGGTGCAATATGGTTTAACAGTTTCCAACTCCCGAGCCGTCTTTTCTTGCAAATTATTTGGTAATCTCGAAAAATAAAACTTAAGCATCAATTGTAATTTCTTAGGGTGAATGAATTTCATGTAGGAAAGTAATGAGGTACATTCTTAGCTCGAAGACGGCTCGAAGAGTTGGAAGATATCGCAACGAGATTTTTAGAAAATTTACATGTAAGAAACGAATTATTTCCCGATTAACTAATCGCTTAATCGATGATAGTACATTCCTCGTCATTGTTGCTTTCGGAGTTAATCGCGTTGCAGTTAGTCCTGCTCGAGTCCTCCCTGTTCTCCTCCTTCGGTACCTTGGCACCAACGTTATCACTAGTAGAAAAACATGCGTCTTTAGATTTACTTTCCTTCTCCGAGTCACTAACACATACAGGCGTGGCTTTTAAACTTTTCTTCTTATCTAAATTGTTAGTCATATCGTTAACCATTTTCGCAAAGTCATCCTCGGTTTCTTTAACAACCGAATTCAACATCTCTGAAATAAACGGCGAATTGGCCTCTATCAAATCCTTCAATGGCGTCTCGTTAGGGTCCGGTAGGTCCTTGGGCTCCTCCAGCTCGATGATCTCAGGGTCGCGCTTCTCCAGGTAACAAATAAACTGTTCCTCGTATTTATCACCGGTTGCCGAAGCGTTCTGGATCGTCGAATGCCTTATGGATTTGTCGTAGTCTTGCATTTCGACGTCGTATATCTGCACGGACTTGTCCACCAGTTGCGCGGGGTCGTCGCCCACTGCTCGAGACACGGTGTTCCTCTTCTTGAAGGACTTTATACCTTCGACTGCGTTCGTAGTGCCTACGAACTCCGAAGGGCTCAAAATATTAGCATCGGCTTCGCCGTTGTTCTCGGTCTCCGGATCGGAGTCGTTGACGCAGACCATGTCCAGAGGTAACTCTTCCTTCTTGGTCTGGTTCTGAGTATTACTAGGATCCGACGACTGGGCGGCTCCCGTCTTCAGTTGGTACCTCTTCCACCTGTTGTACTCGCGCACTATTCTATCGTTGATACACGCTAGTTGGCTGACCGTGTCGCGTATCTCGCGGTGGAACTGCTTGATCATGACGCGGGCGTCGTTCAGCTCGTACTTCTTCAACTCTTCTTGCTTGGACGACTCGAACAGTCCTCGTAGCTTGGTCTTGAGATTCGTCAATATATTGTCGACCTCGTGACCGTGAGGAAGCAACCTCTGATTGAGCGTCTTTACGCTGCGCCTCTCCGCTAGCAGCTCTTGCCTCTTGGAGCTGCTGGTCTTGGAGCTGACCAACGCGACAGGTACCGCTTTGTTGTTGTCGACGTGGTCCTTGAAGGAACGCGAATTCCGGGACGGACCTATCACCGCTATGTCCTCTGAGTCGCTGTCGAGCTCTATGACGTGAGGACTGCTCCCTACGGGTCGCGGTACTTTGGGTTCTGGCAGTGGAAAACGCAACCGGTTCATCATGTCGGCGCTTTGGTTGGGTATGGTTACCATAGGCGTCGACGTGCACTGCATCGCCTGGTATAGGTTCATCGAGGCCACTTGATTTATGGGACTGGACACGTGGCGTATGGGTATCACCGGCGACGCTGGTTGGAGGAAGTTCGAAGCGACCACGTTCATGAACGTGTTGTACATGGGTTGTTGAACGACGTTGGCAGTTTCTATTCTGGGAGGCAAGGAGTTCGTCGGGAGAGGCTGAGAGACGATCGTACCGTCTGTATTGACCGTGACGACGTTTTCGCATTCGACCATTGTCTGCTCGCAGGAGAGAAGGGACGGCGGTAGTTCGTGGTCGACGGAACCGTCTTCTGATGTCGCGTAGGATTTACCAGACACGGATACGTTGGTTCCGTTCGAATAGCGTCCTCTGCCGCGACCTCTTCTTCTACGCTTCGTCACGATAGGCGCCGTCACTTGCTTGGGTATGTAGGTTTCGTCGTCTTCCTCTGAATTCGAACCTGTTCTTCGACGCTTCCGTTTCCTTCTTCGCGGGCAACAATTCGTTTCGTCTAGAGACAACTTCTCGTCTATCTCTTGCTGGGTCATCTTGCTGTTCTGCTTGAACAGTCTGGAAAATTGAAGAGGTTTTAATTCTGATTCAATTGGAAGTTATTATTCGCTTTTATCTTTTATTCTTTTCTTTATTTTCTCATTCTGACTCTACGCGACTGACCCTAGAATCGAATTCCATCCTTTACTACAACTTGGATTTTTAATATAAAATGATTTATTCCAATCTCGTTGCTCGGCACATGTAAAACTGAAACAACGTGGCAAGTAACGCTGTGTTTTCCTTTTTCTTGAACAAAGCATTCGTCTTTTCGTTCGTATCCTTTCCTGATCGAAAGTTTGAATAAAATAAAAATAGAACAAAGTATGTCGATTTTAATGTAATAGATAAAATTTGAAAATGCGTGGTTAGCTAGACAGAGATAGCTCGAGGCTCGCTCGCTCCATTCGTACCCCATTCATCGTTCACCATCCCCAAACAGTTTCTCCATATTGCCTTGACGAGCCACGCCAGCTCACCGCCATATTTGAGACAAAGATGGTACGCCATTTAGGCTTTCTGTTTTTCCATTCTACAGGCTGTACTAAAATTGATGTTTTCTCAAAAATTTAGACCATCCATTAGCACACTTTGCGTATCTATTTCTCAACAATCGAAACTCGAAGCAATTAGAACATCTTAAACGGATAATCCTGTTACCTGTTCATTTTCTGAACGAACTCCAGCAGAGCCCAGCAAGTCGCTCTCGCGGGATACAAATCCGTGGGATCGCAAACGAAACATTTCCACTTTTCGTCCGCTTCGATCTTTTTCCTCAGGATTGGATCAAAGTTTCTCTTGATACATTTGCAGCAGAAGGTGTTGCTGCAAAAGGAACAGCAGTACAAATTGCCGCCGTTCGCGCACCATCTGCAGAACATGTCCGTGGCGTCGTCACCTGCGAGATAAAGTTGCAAATATCAGAGAAACGCTAACTATAAATATGCTCTAGCTCATCCTAACGTGTTTCAATTAATGAATGTTTCATTCTCTTTTAGTACCTTGCTCGAAGGTGCCATCTCCGTAAAAGTCGCGACACTTGGAGCACAGCAATGTACGAAGTACAGGATGCTCGAACATGTTACTAGAATCCGCTGGAGCTGATCCGATGTGTGCGTCACATGCTGTGCAATGTAGTTTTTGAAACCGTACTGCGGAAACATCTGAAATACAGAGAATTTCATTGGAAACATTTTGTGGAGAAGTATTTATTTATGGGTTAGCTAAACACTCTCTGGTTTATTATTTACAGAGGATACGAATAAAATATGTACGATACAGGGTAATACAGATTTCAATACTTTCTAATGCAACAGAAATGGAACAACCACTGAATATTTATTTACTTATACACTCTTGAAATTCATTTTGTTTTTTCTACTATTCTAGTTCAATGTTTTTCTAAATGAAGTAAGCATACATTACAAAATGGAGCTCGACAGAATGAAAAAATCAGGAATAGAAAAGTACTTTTTGGTAGACCAAGATAAGTGCAAGTGAGAAGTACCCAAACCTTAATTTTCCATCACATTTAATACAATTTATAAACTATCCAAAATAGAGGATTGCAGTTAAATGCATTACTTTCTGATAAATTATATTAAACAAGGACATGGCTAAATGCCTTGAAATTTATTCAAATAGATTCTCTGAGTGTGTATAATTTTAGAAGTTTGAATTATAAAATAGCGTTTGAAATGGTAAGAGATCTCTGTTTGTTACAATGATGTATCACAAAATGTAAAAAAATTTCAAAAGGGACCAAAAGTCCCAAAAGAAAGGCCACAGTCCTTCTGTCAAATAAATGCGATATCATCAAACTTTGAGCAATCTA